CTCGAGAGCATCACACACCAAGGCGCAAGCCATTTGACCATGGAGCATAGGTGGGATGCCGCGGGCTACCCCAAGCCTAACAGCAAGAAGACGCTGGGTTCTTTCAACCAATGGCGCCGAGATCTTGGCGGGTATCGGCTCGTTGGGGTCACCCTGGAGTCGGCCGCTTCTCTCTGGGCAAGCTCCTCCACACAGACCGCTGGCATCGGGTTCCACGCTCTCGTTTTCGAGGAAGCCAGACAAGCGCTGGAGGCTCTCTCCACGGTGCTCATCGCCATGGCCACCTTTGACGGCGGGCCCATCGCACGGAGGCCACGCCCAGTTACCGTCATCCTCCCGCTCTGAAGTTGCCGTCGCCCCTGGGGTCGAGGTTTCCATCATGGGGGAGTTTGCGCACATGGTGCAGTTTGAGGACAGTGTGGTCGTCGTACTACGCACGTGCTGCCGGATGCCTCCTTGCCTCCTTGCCTCCTGCGCTTCCCCTTCTGGGCCTGCTACCGCGACATCCTTCTTTGTGGCCTTTCCCATGGAGCGCTGCAGGACTCCCGTGAACCCATTCCCAGTTTTATGGCGCCAACATCGCAGAGCAGATTTCGTTCGGAAATCGATCGGATGGGCCTGGAGTGTCCTGGATAATTGCGTTCTGGATTTCGAAGTGAATTTCGTGCGGTTTTTTTGGGCCAGGAATTGAGACTAAAAAAAGTCCACGCGAAATTCACTTCGTTTTTCACTTGCCGTTTTGGAGCTTTGCATGGACAGAAATCCACGCGAAATCCACTGCAGCACGTCTGCAAGGTCGGTGCAGTGAGGTTTTCAGTGGCCCAGGCGCTCACGAGCACGTGGCGGCACGGCGCGGGGCAGCCCCTCGCCTGCCTTGCCAGTCTCCCACTGCGTCACCTCTGCAGCCTGCCCCCCGGGTCGTGTGGGCAAGGCCCCCGACCCCGGGAGGACGCCGAGGCGCCCGTCGCTTCCTCCAGCGCTTCCACGGGCGGGGTATCCCCGCCAGTCCAGCACTTCTTCGACGGGCCCGGGGCCTCCCCAGTCGGCGACGTCGACGGGTTCCTCATTCTCCATCCTCTGGCGAATTCACCGCCAGCTCCAACCACTGCAATCCCAGCGAGGCCGCGGAGGTTACCATCCTCCTCGACACTGCGATGTCGTTCATCGGCAATGACCTCACCGTCGCAGTCATCACTCCCTATCGCCTCCTAGCCACCGTCCTCAAACAAGGGTGGCCTATGGGCTGCGCGATCGCAGCCCTCTGCAGGACGGCCATTCCTCGGGCCGGCGGGCTCACCCGCGACGCTCCAAAGCCGCCTGCTGGCGTGCGCGGCCCAGGGCGACGATGCCGACCTCGACATTATCTCTTGCTTGCGCTCCAGCGGTGGCTTCGTCCACGAGCATGCTGACTGCACCCGACGCATCAACGTCGCCCTCACGCGTGGCAAGAACGGCTGCATCCTCGTCATGAACGCCGGCATGGTACAGGCCAGTCAGGAGGCCGTGCTCGTGGACCTGGTCCGCTTCGCCTCCAGCGCCCGGCTGCTAGTGTCTCGGGCTTCCTCTTCGGCTACACGCAAGAGTGACCCTGGGTAAGAGTGGCCATCGGTGCGCGGCTTCTTTGGGGGCCGCGGGGGGACCAAAGCTGGGCGCGTAAGCAGCTGCTACTGTTTCGTTTTCAGCCATCTGGGGACCCATCTGTTGAAGGGGCCCCAGGACACACACAAATAAATGCACACAAATAAAAATATTCCCGATATTTTCCCATATTTTCTGGGTTTCTGTCTTCCCCCCCCACTTCCCATATTTTCCCATATTTTCCTGGGAATCGAGGATTAATTGTGTCTGTGTGTTTCTTTTCCTCCTGATCTGTACCCGCACAAAAAAAGTCACTCCCGCGAAAGGTCACTCTTACGTCGAATCGACCTCTGCTGGCGCCGCCCTCGGCCCCGGAGTGGCCCTCCGGCCTGTCCGCCTCGACGAGGCGTGGGCCGTCGTCCCCAGGCCTGCTAAGAAGGACGCCACGCGCGGACGCCTACGAAGATGCTGTACCTTTCCAGCAATATGCGAGCGCGTTCCACCACTCGCAAAGTAACTGCTCGCAGATGGCCTGGATCCCCCGCAGGGGACCTACGGTAAATTACATCGGAGCAGACGTGTGTTTTACTGACGTTTGCGAATGGGCACTTTGCAAGTAGTGGAACGCGCTCGGTGAAGCAATGGAATACGTTTCTGGTCTCTCTAGGCCGGCCTCCTCCGTCCAGTTCCAGCCCCGCCCAAGTCTGCAAAGGATTGTGCGGGAGGCTCCCCCAACAGACCCCCAGGAGACCCCCACGAGGCATCAAACATGCCCCAAAGAAGCCTATCAATAGACACCTAAGAAGCTCTGGTCCACTCCCGAGGCTCCCTCAGCGGCATTGCGCCTCTCTGGCGCTCTTCAGAGCAGCCAAGAACGGCCGAGGAAGGCCACCAAGGCTGCCAATGTGGCCCAACACCCGAACATTGCCTCGAGATGCACCTGACTGCAGCCAAGAAGACCTCAAGGAACGTGCCCCAAGAGGCCTCGAAGACAACAAAACGAAGGCCAGAGCGCCCTCCAGAAAGGACAACATTCATGAAGGCCCAGGGAAGGCCCAACAAGAACCCCCGGCAAGCGCCCATGAGAGCCGCGCAAGTGATAGAAACGAGAGCCGTCCCATGTTACGGCCTTCGGTGCTCGAAGCGTCCCAACACATAATGATACGCTGGCGCCGTGACGGGAATGGCCGCAGACAGCGGGGCATGAAAACGGGCAAAGCAGCGCATACAACGCATGAGAAGAAGGACGAAAGAGCTGCCACTTTTCCAAGGAGGCATATCTGCTGATGTTCACCTTGCGAAGATCAGCGAAATGACGACGACGTGCCAAACGCACACATTGACTCACGCAGCGAAACCTACAACATGCTATCTTGCTTCAGTCTGACCGCTGGAACTTGGGAGTAGGCATGGCCTAATGAGTCCTGCTCTGAACCAACTGGGGAAAACGCGCTGCCGCCCGTGCAACACCATAAACTCGGCATACCGCTGGGAACTCTGTCGCCATCCTCAGCAACGCAAGGCCGCCCAGCCCAGTCGCGGGCCGCGCCGAGCGGGGTCATCAGAGTGGCTCCCCCTTTTCCTTACACTCCTCCTTCTCCTCCTCCTCCTCCTCCTCCTCCTCCTCCTCCTCCTCCTCCTCCTCCTCCCCTCTTCCTCCCTCCTCCTCCGTCTCGTCGCCCTCTTCCTCGTCCTCCTTCCCTCCGTCCTCCTCAAAACGACCAGCTTGCGCTTGCGATGCTCAGAACAAACACATCCACCAGCCACTATGTGGGGCCTTCAGACTGTGAGCTTGCGCGTCGTCAGACAATCCATGAACTCAGTGAATGCATCCTTCCGTCCTTCTGTAATTCCTCCCCCCCCTGTCCCCCACACCACCAGTTAAGACTACCCCCTGGATGTGCGTTACGGCTTCTGGCCCATTCACCAACCTGGATATACAGTACAGATGCATGTGCATATATACATATATATATATATATATATATATATTTATATATATATATATCTATATACATATATATACATAGATGCAGATATACAAGATCCATGCCCCCAGGGCTAATATCCCTCGCAACGCACGCTGGACTACCCATCCCAGGGCGACGCTCTCTCATACAACACGCTGGATCCACGCTCCCACGGCCACGATCCCTCCTACAAGCGATTTCCGATGCTTCGGGGGGATCGCTGCTGCTTAATCCGCTTCCTGCTTGTGCTGGGTACTTGCTGCTGCTTGGTATTGCTTGCTGCTGCGTAGTGATAGCTGCTATAGCTGGCCGCTGTGTGCTGCCGCCTACTGCCGCTTGGGCATTTCTTCGCGCCTCTCTTTTGGACACGTTTTTTCGTGTATGCTGTTTTGGGTCGTTGTTAGTAGTTGACTGCTTGCTGTTCTGTTTGCTTACTTGTGCTAAACTTGTCGAACACACCTTCTCGCTCGGAGAACACGTTTAACACGCCTTCTCGCTCCGAGAAGGCGCTCCCCGTCATCCAAGAAATAATCGCTTCGCGCTCATCGTCGTGCTTGGTATCGACACTCCTGAGGCTACGGTGCTTTGCATCAAGGACTGGATTCACGCTCCCAGGGCCACGATCCTTCGCAAAGTACGCCCACCGATAATCGATCCCCACCTCTTCGGCCTCGAGCCTTCGCAAACTTGTCTGAACTGGCCCTGGATAGTCTCCAGGCCCAGGGGCCCACAAGAAGGCCCACTCTTGCTCCAAGAGAGCCCTCACAAGGCTCGAGGATGCTACACTTGGCCCTGGGAGGTCAGCAAGAAAGGCCCAGAGAAGGCCCCGAGAGGTCCAAAAATGAACGTAGTATAGCCCCGAAAGATCTACGAAGGCTGACTACAAGAGGGCTCAACCGGGTCCCAAGAGGCAGGGGGAGGTTCGAAGAGTGCCCCAAGAACCCTCGGAAAGAGGAGGAGGAGGAGGAGGAGGAGGAGGAGGAGGAGGAGGAGGAGGAGGAGGAAGAGGAGGGTAAGGCGGACGATGAGGAGGAAGCCCTCGATGCCTGGGGAAGGGGAGAAGGCGGCAGTGGCCCAGCGCAGAGAGGTGAATCATCAATCACCGCAATCCGCCGCCACATCAATGGCTACATTCTTCAATGCGCCCTGCGTGGGTGGACTGGGTAGTCGAAGCCAATCTGGCGAGGGAGCCAACGCGAATCCAGTCTGGCGAATGACCCAAATCATCCAGTTTGGCCGGGCCAGATTGGCCCTTGGGGCCCAATCCAATCTGACAGTCTGGCCTTCGACTACCCAGAATTTGACAGGCAAGTCTCCTGACGGGGGCACGGCTGCAGGGAGCCTCGCCCCTACACACATATATGATACAGAAGCGCACGGACCAGCCGGATCAGGCCGAGCCTGCAACACCCTCGCTTGGGGGCGTGCTGACCTCGGCTCGCACCACGCGGGTCACAGCGCGCTCCGGCCCACAAACCCGCGACGGGCGGTGTCCGTGATCTTGCCGGTCACAGGCCGCTCGGCCTTCTTGAGGAGAGCCCTGGGGCCCGGCCGCGGCCTCATCGCGCTGGCGCATCTGAAGACGCGGCGCTCGGGAGGCGAGGAGATGAGCAGGAACTCCCGCCCCGGCACGTCTCGGCCGCGGCCCGCGGGCCTCCCCCTGGAGGTGGGCGAGAGCTGGCGGGCGGTGGGCGAGAGGGCGCCGGGTCGATGTGCTCCCTCCGTGGACGGGCTCCTGGGCCTGGAGCTGCTCGCCGACCCCGCGATCGAGGACGAGTGCAGGGCCGTGCTGGGCGGGGAGTCCACGGCGCTGCCGAGCACGGGCGGCCGCGGCCGCGCCGCCGCGCGCGCGCGGGGCGGGCTCCCCCGGCCGCCCGCTACGGCCGCGTGCCCGGCCTCGCCGAACAGCCTGCGGAAGGCGGCGGCCCACCCGTCTCGCTGGTCCTCCCCCTGCGGGCGCAGCTCCAGGACGCGCCCGCTGGCGAGCACCAGCCGGAAGGACTGCCCCTGCACCTGCGCTTCCGTCACGTCCGAGACGCGGATGCGCTCCTGGCAGCTGCCTCCCTGCTCGAAGCCCGAGAGGGAGTCGTAGCAATCGATCGTGCTGTCGTAGAAGACGAAGAACTTGGGCTCGACGAACTTCCCTGACACTCTGAGCAAGATCCCACTGCAAACGCAGGGCCGGGCAAATCGAGCTGACGCTGCGCAGGCGTTGGGCTCGTCCCCAAGCCTGCCCAGTGCATGCTCCCACTCCTCCATGCCGCTGTATGGGCCCCCCCCATGATCGACCATGCGCATGTGTAAGCGACTCTGATCGTTCCTGTTGAATACGAAGCCGTCGTCCAGGACTTCGACGTCGACAACCTCTGACAACGGAATCCGACCCTCAGGGTCTGTTCCGAGATCGGCGGCCTCCTCACTAGGGAAGTATTCGATGAGGCCGCCACGCAAGACGACATGCTTGGTGCCAAGGACTCGGACCGGCGTGCTCTGACCCATGGAGCCCTGCGTTCCCAGCCTGAAAGGCCCCTGACAGATCGGGGCCTGCAAAGCCACGGACCGTGGGGTGTCCTCCGAACACTCTCGGGCCTGGCATCGCTGCTGCCCAGCCCGCCCGCCAGAAAGCTGGCCTGCTCGCGCAGAGGCAGCCCAGTCCGGCGCAGCCCAGGCCAAACCCTGCTGGTTTGCCTGCGAGCTTGCACTCACTCGCCCGTGCCCCTCCCGTGCAGCAGCCACGCGGCCTCTTGCCGTCGAAGCCTGGCCGCCCCCGCGGCGGACGCCCACTGCTGGCGAAGATGGGGTGCCGCCCGGCGTCGGTGTGACAGATCTGCTCCGGGCCCTGCAGATCGTGTCGGGGCGCGGCGTCGCAGGCTGGCAGGCCGACGCACTCCGGGTCCTGGCCCTCGCGGCGGTCGCGCCCCCCGCCCCGGAGGGCCCCTTGGCAGCTGCAGCGACCCCCCGGTGGGGGACCTCGGCGGCCGCGGCCGCAGCGCCCAGGGCGGCGGCGGCGGGTCCCGCCGACAGCATGAAGCGACCGCCCAGGCGGGCCGCCAGCAACAGCCGCAGCTGCTCTGTCCAGCGCGCGAGCTGCCGCTCGCAGTCGCAGGCAATCGACATGTCGCGGCCGAGGCTGCTGATACGCAGCTTGAAACCCTTGTCCGTCGCCTCTAACCTGTCGATGTCGTCGAGCTCGATGCGCCCCCGGGGCTCGTCGCCCCAGGCGAAGTGCTCCTCGCTGTCGTAGAAGCTGAGCGAGCTGCTCGTCAGGACGAAGTGCTTGAGCACGCTGGCCCCCTTCTTCTCGTATCGCAGCGGCCCCTGACAGAGGCAATCCGCTGCGCACTCGCCCTCCGGCTCGGCCACCTCTGGGTGGACAAACAAAAAAACGATGCCGCTACTCCCTGGACCTCTCCCAAGGTGCGCTCTGACAAGAACTTCGAAGGGAATCTGGCCGTGCCGGCGAGGGCCTCCCAGGAGGCCGAGCAAGGCGAACAAGGGGTAAAAGTGGCGGCAACGGTTAGGGGAACAAGCAATGACATAAACATAACAACTCGGAGGTCTGCGCGGATTTCTCGGATCGGCGCTGCACCCCCTCCCTGGCGCGCGGAGCGCGCCAGGGGCGGCGCCAGAGGCGCCGCCAGGGGGCCCCCGCGCCGATCCGAGAAATCCGCGCGGACCCCAGAGTTTTTACGATGGCGTCAGTGTTCGTTCCCCTAGCGGTGGCCCGTCCTCCTCCGACCTCCAGCTCGGCCACCTCCGTGCCCTGCTCCGCGGAGCCTGGCTCGAGCTTCGGCTCCTCCGCGGCTCCGGGCTCCGCCGCGCGCGCCCGGCGCTCCCCAGCGTCAGGCAGCGCCGCGGCCCCGGGGACGCCCACGTCGCGCAGGGCGCTGATCCACGGGTCCCAGCCGTCCCCTGGGAGGTGGCCCAGGGCCATCGGCCTCGGCGGGGGGAGGAGGCACGGGTGCTGCAGCACAGCCTCCCGTCCCAAGTCCCTTCCTCGCAGGTCCTCACAGGCATTCCTTTCCGCGGTGGGAGTGCGCCCCCCCGTGACAGACGCGCGCCCCTTGGGCCTGGCAGCCTCACGCGAGACCCCTGTGTTGTGAAGGATCCACCTTCCGTCCTTCTGGCGATGAGAATTGCAAATAGGCAGGCTCACACAATTCAAGTCAGTGTCCAACGATAGTTCCGTATTGAAGCGGATCTGACTTGCACCCATGTAAGCGTTGCACAAATCGACAAACAGTGTAAGTCCCCCTGAAGATATATGTATATATATATGTATATATATATATACATATACATAAATTTCTGCATGTGCGATAGGTCGCCATAGGAATGGAGGGTCAGCAACTTAATTTCGAGTCCCCTTCTGAGGCCGCTTAGGGTCAATCGTCCAACACGTGCAGGGACAAGTGCACGCCTGACAATGGGAAGCTCTCGGAGAAAACGCTACCGGAGATAGTGGGTCGGGAGTGTCCTCGATCGGGGGCGTCGAGCCCGACCTGGGAACGAAGACCGGCCCCGTCCGAAGAACAGCCACGCTGCTGATGAGAACCCTTGGGATGCTTGGCACAGGGACGGGTTTGCGTCCAACTTCTTGCTTTAAAAATGCCATGGCTCCGTGTACTAGCAGAACACTCGCCCCTTCCCGCTCTGCCCGTGTTCCCCAATTTGTTCTGCACGTTGCACGAATTATCTGGCTCTGTGCCCCAGTTAGCCTGATTGACACGCCCTCTGGACTTATCCTTGCGGGCCGCAGATCAAAAAAGTACTAGCAGAACACGCCTCATTACACGTGGTGGTTCTAACATGGATTCCACAGGGTGCCCTTGGCCTCCCCAAAGCGGGCTTCACAGCGAAGACCAGGTGGCCGTCCGCGCTAATCTCAATGCCCACCACGTCCGAAAATAAGAGGCAGCCACGACATTCCTTTCCACCTTGGAAGTCTTCTTCGCGGTAGTAATACTCCAACACATCCCTCCAGAGAACCATGTATCTCGGTTCTGCACCACTCTTCTTGAAAATATTCAGGGTGCCTTTGTGGAGTGGCCTCGCCACGGGCAAGGCCATTGGGCGGAAGTCTTGTTGAACAGCACAAGCTCACACAAGGCGCTTGGTCCGACATATGATGCAAGACGTGAGGAGGAGGAAGGCTATAATAACCATGAAGGATCTGCAACATTTTGGCACCTATATCATGCGCGATACCAGAAACAATGCACATGCGCAGAAGCATGGGTGAAGGCTGAAGTGCCATATGTGTGCACATCGATTGAGCACTTACAAAAGAAAGGGGCGCGACGTCGTGCAACACGAGGAGTCGCAAGGTTAAGACAGGCGATTGCTCCCACTACCACAGCGAACACATGATGGGCAATGATAATAATGAGTGAGCATCAAAAACAAATTATGCCCGTGCAATTCCTTTTTTAAGTGTGAACCGAACGCCGGAACAGCAAGAAACGAACCTGTGGGCCCATTGCCTCCATGCTTTGCGCGACGATGGCAACCTTTACTTTGGAGTCGGGCTATCTTGCAACATGCATCGAGCACAATGCTTCAGAGTACACACGAACATGGTGCACATATTGTAACACTGTGCCACCAAGCATGAACGCAGACTGACGGCACAGCCAACAATGCCTCTTCGACCAATGCATCGAATTTGCCAGCCCAGCGGGCCAAATGCCAAGTAGAATTCATGGTAAGAAACGGTTCAGAGTTCGTTCTGTTTGCCAATTCGCTCGCGCATGGCGGCCCTTGGGGGGTCACCAGAGGAACGCCACCCCGGCAATACCTGTGGAACACCCCGGCAAGGTCCCAAGACCCCCGCCAGCAAGTCGGGTTAGAGATGGCTCTTCGCCCCTGGGCGCGGTGTGAGGGCCCATGGGAGCGCTCCTGTAGCGCGTCAGGGGCGCCCCCAGAAAGCCCAAGAGCCTCCGTGGGGACTGCGAGATTTCGAAACTCTCGCCGCCTTCGTTGGCTCCTGGATGTCCGGCGCACCGACGTCCTATGCAGGATCAAACCTCGCCCGAGCTGCGAACTGCGGAGCTGTTGCCACTTTTGCGGTCTCATGGGAGGTCCAGCGGAGTGACGCCTTCTTCAGATCATAATGGGTTTTTGCCCTCCCTGGGGAGTGTGGTTGCGAAGCTGTCGACACTTTCGTGAGGTCGGTCTTTGGAGGTCCAGCGGGCTCTTATTCAGATCAGAATGAAACCTGGCAGTGGCTGGGGGCTGCCAGCAACGAAACTGTCACCACTCTCGCGGGCTCTTGGGAGATCCACCAGAATGACGTCTTCTTAACATTGAAGTTTCGCCCTCCATGATGAGTGCGAGCTGCGAAGCTGTCAGCATTTTCGTGGACCATCTTGTGGCCTTGTGGGGCTCCTCTTTGGGCAGGCTTGGGCCATCCGACGACCATCCAGAAGCCTCAGAAGCCCATGGACAGCGAGAAAGCAAGATCCTCAAAGACGCATGGTTTCCTTATGATTTGTCATTGATGTTGGCCGCTTGGGGCCCTCTTGAAAGCCTCTCGAAGCCATAATCCTTCGACCAAGTCCACAGAGTTTGCCTTCCGAGGCCCTTTCGCAGGCCCTGTTGAACCCGCTCGCGCAGTTCTTGGGGGTCTCTTCTGGCCGCCTCGTGGCCATCAAAAAGCTTATTTGGCCACGTTGGTCCGCCTTGGCGGCCTTTTGGCGTCCTTTTTTTTTTTCTTGGCATGCTCCGCCCTGTGTGAAGGATGCCGTGCAAGCGAAAGCAGATCCAGCCTGTTAGGCAGGATGCCAGTCAAGCGAAAAACATGTCCAGCCTGCTAGGCTGACCCACGCACATGCGAATTCAGCCACTCAGGCACAGCATTGCGTCGCCCTCCGCGGCAGGGAGGACCCTACCTACCGAACTGGAACGCGAGACCAACTAAAAGTGTCTACGTTATCGGCTGAACCACCGTCGCTGCGCCGTGTTGTGGCATGGAGACGGCGGATTCGATGTGCGCTCAGAGCACAGGATCACAAGAAGCATTCGCACGGACGGGGCGGGACGGGGGGGTAGGGTAGGGCGGGGGAAGGGGGCAAGCGACGAGATGGCAGCAGCAGGGCGGGCTACGTGCGCACGGTCTTGCCACTGCCAGGGGGAGGCGACAACGGCTGTGCCGCGACAAAGGATTTAAATACTTTTTTTGCGGTTACACGTAATGGCGACCATGGGCAAGCGTGACCTCTGGTGCACGACTTTCGGAAGCCTCGGGGAGGCCGAACCGGGGCGCGCAAGCCGCTGCAGCTCAACTGACTTTCACCTGGTCACCTGGCGATAGAACATACTGCTTACAGACATCGGCTGCCCAAAACTGTTTGGTCTTGACGAAGTTGGGTCGTCTTCTGGCCCATCCCATCCAAGCCGAAGTCCACACCCGAGCCCGCCAGGAATCTTTGCTTGACGGCGAGACGGAGTAGCAGGTGGGCCCAGGCCAACGATATGTCTACGCATCATGTCATCCAGATCATCAAGCTTCTGAGTCAAGTCATCGCAGACCACGCGCAATGATGCTAAATCAAGAGCCTTCGCGCCACCCTGCAGCAAGATCAAATTGTCAACAAATTCTTCAGGCTCGATCTCCCCAGTACCGTCCCGGTCCAGAAGAAAGAATACCTGGGCAGTGCTCGAGACATCAATGCCGTTGGCCCGCAGAAAAGCCCGCACTTTGTCGTCTCGCATGAGATCGTGCAGCTCCTCATGAGAGACCTTGTTTGACATGTCTTTGTCTGCCTCGATGAACCATTCCACCATCTGTTCTATGAGAGCCCTAGTCTTGTATTGGGTACTCTGGATAGCCAACTCCTTGTTCGTCTGGGCGGATTCGATGGCAACGGTAACGAACACTCCGTTGAGAATGTTCAAGATACAAAGAACAGTGAACGTAATGTACGCTAAGAAGAACCACTGGTAAGAGGGTTCGATGTCCCTCAACGTAGTGGCCACGTCTTCCCAATCTCCACCAGTGATAACGTTCAGCAGAGTGAATAAGGTGTCTGCTGGGGATCCAAAAAAAGCCTCCAGTTGAAGAATTACCAGTGGATCGGCGTTGTCTCTAACAATATACGACTGCAAGCCCTGCATGAACATTAAGCCAAACACGTAAATGACTACGAACAAGAGTGTGATGGCGGACATGAACGCGTTAGCACTTCCAGCCACGGTATAGCTGAGCACCTTCAGGTTGTGAAATAACCGTGATTTCGAGACTTTCAAACTTCGTGCTAGGCGAGCAAGTCGCAAAACCCTGAAGAGGTTGATGTAAAAGCTCGGCGCGGTACCAATCGCATCAAGAAAGGTGGCCACCACCGTCGCAGTAATTGTGACGCAATCGAACAAATTCCACCACCTCTGACTCCCACGGTAAAATTTCACCTGGTATGCGAAAACCCGGGTTATGAGCTCACTGACGAAGATCAGTGCGAACGCCACATCTCCAATCAACCAACTCCTCTTGGCACTCTCCGCGCTATTCGGGTCATCCCGGGTGCTGCGCATGACCATCCAGGTCTGGGTTCCCATATAGACCGCGTTGAGAAGAATCACAGACGCCATGGCGTAATCGAAGTTGTGGTTGCGAACCCACTTCAACTTTGCCTTCAACTGTTTCGCGCCCCTGAATCCAAAGTAGGTCATCTTGGGTGACCGCTTCTCCAGGTGTTTCTGCATGAGCTCCGCGGTCATCTTCCTGTTGGACTCGGACGTCCCCGTGTCAATGCCGAAGCGTTCCTTCAGCGTCTTGCTGCCGCCGAACCTCTGGGAAATCTCCCTGGAGACAGCGCTGGAGGTCACCGACGCCCTCGCCGACTGCACCTCCTCGGCGACGCTGGCCTCCTGGCAACCGGCCCCGAGCTTCAGGGGGGGGGGCTCCCGGCCCCCGAAGCCGTCCGTGCCGCGCGGGGAGCCGTCCACGGCGTCCGCGGCGCCGTCCACGTCCTGTTCGGAACGCGCGGCCCTCACCCGCAGCGTGGCGTTCTCGCGGCATAGCCTGACGCACTCCTGCCGCAGCAGCCGCAGGAGGCTCTCGAAGTCCGCGACGCCCTCCGCGCCCGCGCCCTCCAGGGGCTCGTGGCCGGGCCCGGGCCGCCGGGCCCCGTCGCCGCCCTCGCCCTCGCACGCGGCCGCGGGCGGGCCGCCGCCGCCCTGGCCCCCCGCGGCGCTCGCGCGCGGGGGCGGCATGGAGCCCGGGCTGCGCGCTCTCGAGCCAGGGCGGGGGTGCTTGAACCAAAATGGCTACGGAGGCATTTTGGCGTCCTCTTGGGCCGTCCTGGAAGCCCCATGGGGCTTGGAAAATCGCTCGAATCTCTGAAACGGGCCCGCCGGCCCCAGGGACTGAAATCGGGTGCGGGGGTGGGGGGGATTTGTCTCCACATCCTGAGTGGGATTTGTGTTTTCTCTGCGCACCTCCGCGCAGGATCTCCTCCCACCTCCCCCCACTCTCTTCCAGCGTAACTATCACCATCTTCATCATCACTCACATTCGCTGGCACACTCATCACCATGACCACCATCATCATAAACATCTTCTTCTTCTTCTTCATCATCATCATCATCACCATTGACATCATCGTCCTCAAAATTATTCACCATCGTCATCACCAATGGATCACCAGTCACCGTCACTCACCATCACCATCACCATCATCACACATTCACCACTATCACCATTCCATCGTGATCATCGACCAAGAGGGAGCCTTGTCTGTAAGTGACTTGAAGAACTCTCAGGCTACAGTCCCCTCCCTGTGGGGTCCGCACTTCATTTTGGTAATCCGAGCGGGTCATCGGACAACTGTAGCTGTCGTCCCTTTTCGGCTCCACTGGATTGAATATGGAGGAAGTCTCTGGCGAGAGCTTCGTCTGTGAGTGAATTGCGAGGAAGTCTCAGGCGTGAGCCTCCTCCCTATGGGGTCCGCATTTCATGTTGGTAATCCGACCCGGTCATCGGAAACCTGTAACTTTACCCACTTTTCGGCTCCTCTGGACTGAGTATGGAGGAAGTCTGCGGCGAGAGCTTCGTCCGTGGGTGAATTGCGAGGAAGTCTCAGGCGAGAGCCCCCTCCCTATGGGGCCCGCTCTTCATATTGGTAATCCGAGCGGGTCATCGGAAGCCTGTAACTGTCGTCCCTGCTCGGCCCCTCTGGATCAAATGAGGACGAAGTCTTCGGCGAGAGCTCCGTCTGCGAGTGAATTGCGAGGAAGTCTCAGGCGTGAGCCTCCTCCCTATGGGGTCCGCATATCATGTTGGTACTCCGAGCGGGTCATCGGAAACCTGTAGCTGTCGTCATTTTTCGGCTCCTCTGGACTGAATATGGAGGAAATCTCAGGCGAGAGCATCGTCTGTGAGTGAACTGCGAGGGGATCTCAAGCGAGAGCCCCCTCCCTATGGGGTCCGCATGTCGTGTTGGCAATCCGAGCGGGTCATCGGAAACCTGTTCGGCTCTTGTGGACTGAATTTGGAGGAAGTCTTACGCGGGGGCTTCGTGCGTGAGTACATTGAGAGGAAGTCTCAGGCGGGAGCCCCTCTCCCTATGGGGCCCGCTCTTCATGTTGGTAATTAATCCGAGCGGGTCGTCGGAAGCCTATAACTGTTGTCACTTTTCGGCTCCTCTGGACTGAATATGAAGGAAGCCTCTGGCGATAGCTTCGTCTGTCAGTGAACTGCGAGGAAGTCTCAGGCGACAGTCCCCTCTCTATGGGGCCCGCTCTTCATGTTGGTACTCCGAGCGGGACACCGGAAATCTGTAACTGTCGTCCCTGTTCGGCCCCTCTGGATCAGATATGAAGGAAGTCTCAGGTGAGAGCTTCGTCTGTGAGTGAATTGCATGGAAGTCTCAGGCGGGAGCCTCCTGGGGTCCGCATACCATGTTGGTAATCCGACCCGGTCATCGGAAACCTGTAGCTGTCGTCACTTTTCGGCTCCTCTGGACTGAATATGGAGGAAGTCTCAGGCGAGAGCTTTGTCTGTGAGTGAACTGCGAGGAAGTCTCAGGCGAGAGCCCCCTCCCTATAGGGTCCGCACTTCATGTTGGTAATCCGAACAGGTCATCGGAAATCTGTAACTGTCGTCCCTGTTCGGCCCCTCTGGATCAAATGAGGAGGATGTCTCGGGCGAGAGCTTCGTCTGTGAGTGAATTGCGAGGAAGTCTCAGGCGGGAGCCTCCCCCCCATGGGGTCCGCAAATCATATTGGCAATCCGAGCGGGTCATCGGAAACCTGTAGCTGTCGTCACTTTTCGGCTCCTCTGGACTGAAGATTGGGGAAGTCTCACGCCGGGGCTTCGTCCGTGAGTGACTTGCGAGGATGTCTCAGGCGGGAGCCCCCTCCCTATGGGGCACGCACTTCATGTTGGTAATATGAGCGGGTCATCGGCAAACTCTACCAGTCATAACATTTGAGCAACTTTAAGAGGCACATCAGGAGGCGTTCCTCACACGTCTGTGGGTGAGTTGCTAGGAAGTCTCAGGCGGGAGCCTCCTCCCCATGGGGCCCGCATTTCAATACACGGCGTGATCAATCATTTATCATCAGCATATAGTGTCAGAGAGCAAAGGAAAGCAGCAGAGACCAGCAGAGAGCAGCAACAACCAGCAGAGACCCGCAGAGAGCAGAAGAGATCAGCTCAGGCCGTGCATGAGGAGAACAGGCGGGATGGAGATGAGGAGGGTGGAGACAGAGGAGGAGGTGGAGGAGGAGGAGGAGGAAAACGACGAAGAGGAAGAGGAGACATTGAACAAGGAGGGCGGGCGGGCAGGAGGAGGAGACGGAGGACGAGGAAGACAAGGAGGATGAGGAGGAGGTGCAACAGAGGGCGAGATGGGGGGCTTCGGCCAGGGCGAAGAGAGGTTAGAGCGAAGGGCAATCGAGGTAGGATCCTGCCGTCGAAATGATTAAACGTGTGGCCCCCTTGGCCCGGGGTCCCGGTCGCTGGTGCATGTCTGGAGATAGGATAATGACATGCCGGCGGGAGAAGTAGCGCGAGGCGCGACGACGGGGGTAGAGTGAAGACGGACTCCGAGCCAACGCCGCGGTTGGCGATCCCTGCGCCCGTCACGGCGGGCCCGCAGCGCTGCGTCACGGATTTGCCTGCGATCCTCCTGGCACCTTCGAGCAGCCAGGGAACAGCTGGACACAGAGACTCCCCAAGGAACTCCCATGGAAGGTGCGTCTAGCTATGTTCCGGAGCAATACGACTTTCAACCGCTTGGAGCATGTACGCCTCTCGGCGAGCCCAGCCTGGGCTGGAGAACCGCTCTTCCCCAGAAGCCTCCGCGGGGGGACGGCGCGGCGGCGCGAGGACAAAGGTGCCTCGTGCAGCGCGGAGCGCGATGCAGCCGATCCTAGCTCCACCAGGCCCCCCGGGGCGCCCCAACGCTCCCCTGGTGTTGTCGTTTTGAGCATCGTTGAACCGATCCCTATCCCCACGGACGTGGCCTGGGCCCCACTGGCCGATTTATCCACCCAGATGGGGATATAGGCTGTTCCCTTCGAGTTTCGACAGGCATATCCCCGACTAGGGCGGTGGGATGGTGGGGATCTGGACGGGGATGGAGAAGGGGATAGGGATCGGTTAAACGATGCTGATCTTTTCCTCCGCGAGCGGGACCTGGGGCGCTTCGGCCGCCTCTTCCTCGGCCTGCGCGGGCCTCCGCGCGGCGGCGTAGAGGAACCGCGCGGCCTCCTGCGGCCGGCGGCTGCTGGCCTCCTGGAGCACCTCCACGCCGACGTCACCGAAGCCGCTCCGCTCGAGCAGCTCCTCGAGCTCCTCCCTCGTGAGGCTCGGCCGGCTGAGGATCCCGGGGTGGCGCACGACGCGTCGCGCCGAGGGGGGGGGGGCTTCTGGAGAGCTTCTGGGCACGCGTAGGGGGGAACGAGAGGGCTTCCGGGCACGCGTACTGGGGAGCAGGGCGCCCGAGGGGCGTGGGGTGGATTGGCAAAGAACTCTGAGGATGAGGAGGAGGAGTAGGAGGAGGAGGAGGAGGAGGAGGAGGAGGAGGAGGAGGAGGAGGAGGGGGAGGAGGAGGAGGAGGAGGAGGAGGAGGGGGAGGGGGAGGAGGAGGAGGAGGAGGAGGAGGAGGAGGCGGGAGACCCGAAGAGAGCCTCCGGAGGCACTTCTTGAGCGCCCTCCGGCCGCGCGCATGGGGCAACGCTCAGGAGCGGCTTTCTCGGGTGGGGCGCGGCCGTCGGAGGAGGCAAGGGGGGCCTTCTCTTGGGGATCCCAAGACCGTGCGGTGACAGACCGTGCGGTGATCTCGGAATCACCCAAGAGACCTCGCCGCACGATCCGTCGCCGCACGGGTTTGGGACCCTGGAGGCCCCAGTCGCCCGAGAGACATCCTCGGGGAACGGCCCGAGTCCCGAAACCGCGCGGTGACCCCGAGTCCCCACCGACTCACCGCACGGTGTGGTCACCACCCCGTTTGGGGGCCCCCGAAAGGGGGCCTTCTCTCGGAAGGGATCGGGGGCCTCCGGGAAGCTTCGTCTGGGAGGCGCGAGGGCCTTTTGTAAGCAGGCTCCCGACGAGGGAGGCGACCGCGGGAGCCGGAGCCCCGCTCTCTTAGTCCTGTCGGGGGGCGGGCTTCTCGACCCGTCCTGGGAGCACGCTCTGGGGCGTGCCAGCGCGGCGCTCTCGAGTCGAGCTTCGGGTTCCGTCGGATCCTTTGCCCCGGCGAGCGCGTGCAGCCATCGGGAGAGCCCCGCTCTCGGTCCCGTCGGGGGGCGGGCTCTTCGACCCGTCCTGGGAATCACGCTCTGGGGCGTTGCAGCGCGGCGCTCTCGAGCCGAGCTTCGGGTTCCGTCGGATCCTCTGCCCTGGGCGAGCGAGTGCAGCCGTCGTGAGACGGCCCCCTGCGCTGCCTCACGAGAGAACAGAGCAGCTCCTGGCTTCTGCTCCGCCGCCGTGCCCCGAGGCACGAGTGGGAGTGGCCCTCAGGGCCCTCTTCCTCCTCCTCCTCCTCCTCCTCCTCCTCCTCCTCCTCCTCCTCCTCCTACTCCTCCCCCCCCTCCTCCTCCTCGGCCGACTCCCTCGGGCCTCCGCTCTCAATCTCGAGGAATCCCCGAGGCGCACGGTCTCCACGTTGCCAAACCTCCCGGGGCTGGGCGCGTGCCCGGGGGGGCTTCCTGCGGCTGGTCGCGATCCCTCCTCGGGCCCACGGGGGCCCCGATACTGGCAGAGAACGCCCGAAGAGGTCCCCAAGACGGTCCAAGAGGGCCCCAAATCGCCGAACGGCCAGTCCAGGACGCCAGAGATGGCCTCCAGTCGTCCGAAACAGCGCCCAAGATGTCCCAAGAGGCCTCCGAAAGCCTGCCAAAAAGGGCCCAGAGAGGCCAAACTCATTGATGTTCCTCAGGACCCCACGACGGCCCAAGAGTCGACCAAGAAACCCAAGAGGGGCTCAAGAGCGGCCCGAGAGGCGAAACACGAACCGAAAATCCGAGCCTCCCGCCCCAAGAGGCACGTAGGAGGCCCCAAGAGGTTTTCAAGAGGCCCTGACAAGTTTTGGACAGGCCCCCACGAAGGCCCTCGGTGGAGCTCCCTACGTATGGGGTCACGGCAGGCGTGATGGGGTGTGCCAAAGATGGGGGTGGTGGGCGCATCCCAAGAGGCTCCCGAGAGGCCCCCAAATACCTCAAAACAGCCTCAGACCCGTAACCCAAGCACGGTGGCGGGATGGGCCGAAGGCCTTTCGATCCGCTGGCCCCGTGGTCTTGCCAGAAAGGTGCCTGGCGTGCTAGATCCTACTTCTTTTGGTTTCTATCTTTTTTGAAAACAACTCCCCACTGAGGCTCCCACCCAGCGCGCCGGCCACCCAGAATGGCCCGCCTGCTGCGCCACCAACGTCTCCAAAAACGGCCGTTTGGTTCGGGACATACTCAAAACATCGGGGTCTTGGGGATCCTAGCCCAAGACGCTTCCAGGTTCGCCCCAGAAGCCTCCAAGACGGCCCAAGAGGCCCCAAGATGGATCAAATCATTAATTCTCCAATGGTTTTCGGAAGATTCTGGCATTTGCTTCTTTTCGGCCTCCCGGCGGCCCGAGAGTGCCCAAGAGCCCCCAAAGATCGCCCCAAGATCACGCAAGATTTCCAAGATGGCCCCAACAGGCCCAAGAGGCCCTCAAGACGGCCCCGAGAGGGCCCAAGAGGCCTCCAAGGCGCCCAAGATTGCCTCCAAGACGGCCCTGGAGCACCCCAAGAGGGCCCCAAATCGGCGCAGAGAGGCCCCCACGACGGCTTCCGACGGCGCCAGACGGGCCAGGAATGCCCCAAGACGGTCAAAGAGGCCCCCGAGAAGCCCAAAAAGGCCCCCAAGAGGGCCTTGAGGCCCCAAAGATGCCTCCAAGAGGCTCCCAGGAAGCTCCCAGGAGGCCCCAAGAGTGCCCCTAAAGGCTCTGAAGATGCCCCCTCCTCCTCCTCCTTCTCCTCCTCCTCCTGATCTTCCCCGCCATCCTCTCCCACATGGTCCCCGAAGGGTTTCTACAACGGCTGGGGGAACACATGGTCCGATAGCTTGGCAAAGCTCTTGCCACAGCGCTCGGCCACATGGGCGATTTCAAAAGGCAGGGGGCGGCGGTGATTCGCCGCAAGCGTCTTCGATAGAGGGCCACCACCCTCGCGCCACTCCCGTCTACACGCCACCTAAGTGGTGATGGGGGGCGCAAGCCCTCTCCGTCCCGTGGAAAATCATAACGGAAAGGCACTTTGCCACCAAGCCCCCCTTTGCCCCCCAAGCCCCGTCTCCTTGGACTCAGCTGCCCCACATACACCGGACCAGCCCCAGATCTTCAGCCCGCCAATAAGTGGTGTGTGGTGTACAATCCGTCACCGGGCCCTCGGCACGTTGGGTTGCGTTCGAATGCCTCTCTGCTATCTGGTGGGGTATACTTTCCCTTGGGCGACCCCCCAACGAACGTGCGTGTTTCGGGAACCGATGCTCCCAAACAATCTTCTCGGCCTCGGGGCGGCTTCAATATGGTCCAAGACTATCCTAGATGACTACACTAGACCCAAGGCCAACGCAAGAGGGCTCAAAGACCGTCCAGAAGCCTCGGGATGTTCCCAATCATCTCCAAGAGGCCTCGGGAAATTTCCAACAAATGCCGAACTAACTCTCCAGAAAGGCACTGGGAGGCTCATAACCATAGACAGCAATTTCCTTTGTGAGCGTCTCTCTCCTTCTTTTTCGATGACCATGCCAGAGTAGCTGCCGTAACCTAGTCCTCGGGAGACCAACGGCAACGGATTATAGACTTGAAGATGACACTGCGGTGCGTGACAAGGAGCTGCATATTTCGAGACACAGCCGAAGCGGGACAACGGCCCTCGACTTGGTATGCGATCGAACCAGATAAAGCTAGCAAGCCCCTGTTCTGAGCTCCTGCCTCGGATTTCGCAGAATCGCTAACCGCAGGACGATAACAAACGCAGTAGACCAATGGTCCAAACGGCGCGCCTTCCCTACTGCCCCTCCCTCTCGAAACAACTCCCATGCCTCCTTCACAACTGTCGCGTCTCCCCCCACCCGTCCAAATAATGACCTGATCCAGACTAGGCACGATAGTCCCCAAATCTGGCCGTACATCCACCCCGTCACGTTTGGAATCCATTGCACACTTGTACAACTCGTCTGCCTCCTGATTCAGATCACGCTTCCGCCACGGTATCGGGTCTGAGCGCCTTTACACCGACAGTGACCACAAAAGGTAGATGACTCTGCCATCAACTTTCCATGACAATCGCTTGCTTTATACCGCCAAATGTACACAGCGCGCAATCACTTGTGATGTATTGAGGTGCCTTGTGCTCTGTATACGTTTAATGTTCCGATTGTTTTTCATCCTCCCTTCCCCGTCCTCTTTCTACTTTAATCGAAACATGTGCTGCACATGTTGATTTCCCATGCCTTTCAGACGCTGGAGGCTATGGATAACCGAAGTCCACCAGCACCCGTCAAAGATAACACTTGTCGTACCCCCCGCAGGCACAAGCCTAGTTTTCCTTGCCCATGCCCCATGATACTTGGACACATATGGGAAAGCGCGCCGAAGTTCTTGCCTGCCTGGGTCAAGCGGTGGTCCATGGGCGCGTGGGATGTCCTCCCTCTATCGTGCGCCGCGCCGAAGACGACGATGGTGGCCACAACTGGGAAAAACAGCGTGTCGCTCTCGAACGTTTGGATGGCCAGCTCCTTTGGGCAATCCCCGGAATACCTCCCCATGATGATTGGCGCCCTGGCTATCTTCATCGAGAAGCCTGCCCGTTTGAGGATCTGGTGCATGTCCACCGTTTGCTGCATATGCTCGACCGTGCTCGCGACGAATCTGCAGTTGTCTGCCCGCGCCAACAATGACCAAAACAAATCTGCAGTGCGTTGGCCGAGTCCCATTCTTCCCTCTGCCAGACCTCGCTGTGCAAAACGCGTTGAAGCACGAGGTTGAACATTGTAGGTGTTTCCGCCCCTACCTGCCTCAAGCGCCCTGGAGGACCCCATGCCTGCGCTGTGTGCTTCTGCAAAGAGCCCTCAGAGCGCCCTCAGGATCGCAATACTGACTAGGCTTGGAATTCCCGCGCGGCGCAACGAATCGGCAAGTGGCATGCGCGTTGACAACCGAATGCAAAAGCGATGTCAAGAGAAGCGATGATGACCCCGTACCCTATCCCACATGTTTGAGATTTGTATCACCTTGCCTGCAGTATCGCCTTTGTGTTTCGTGGAAAGCCCTGAATCAAGCCCGAACGTACGCACACTACTAAGTTTAACACACCTTTTTTAGACCAAACATCATACCAAATAGGTGCCACGTTTGTCAACTTGAAGGGCTTAGCTAGTTACCGGTATTTTCCACGAGCTCGAGCAGGCTCCAATAAGTCCGTGGATTTTGGCCCGCCCAATCATATCGCAACGTGCTTCTCCAGATCTCCAAGAGGACGAGACGCTGCGCAATTTGACAAATCTCGTTGACGACAATCCCATCCCTCCCCAGCGAGGCCTCGGTGATCGGCGCACCGCGGGCGCGCGCGAATCCAAGAATTCGAAGGGTGGTTTGACCAAAAGCCATACGCCAATGGCCGTTGAAAGCGTCGGCTTTCGCCCGGATCTCCCACGTCTTGATTCGATCGTCTTGGGCAGAGGCGTCGCTGCGCGTGTTGCAATATCGAACGAGTCCGCATTGGTGGGCGATGTCGAGCCGCCTCTATATATCTGCACATGGGCGCTGCACCCCCCCGCGTGTCTGTCCGGGGCCGAGTCTAGAGGGACTGGTGGAAGTCTAAGACGTCGAAGCTCACGATGAGATCGCACTTCATCCAACGCGGTGTTCGCTGCCTGCCTCGGCCTGCCCCTTCGAAATCCACGCTGCTGTTTGCGAGCTGCTTTATCGGGGGTTTTCCCCTCAGCGTGACCTCCCGCTCGAATGGCCGCGCGAAGACTCCTCTCCTCGATCGGCGCTTGCCGTGACTGCCACCTCCGCAGACCACTTGCGCTATGCGGGACAGACGCGGCGAACTGCCCGACCAAACGCTCCAGAACATATAGACACGGCGAAACCGTTGGCGCGGCTGTCGCAACGGCGCCCCCGCCGTAACAGTTGGTTCCAGGAGTCTTCGTTTTGAGCTTTGTATCGAAGTAACGCCCCCGTCGCAGCGCCAAGGCCCCCTCTCGTAACGGCAGGCCCCATCGTGAGGGCACTCCCCGTCGTCGCCGGCGTCGTCATTTTTGCCGCGCGGAGTGTCTGGCCGGCCTTCCAGGCCTGCTCGTCTTCGCACTGCCAGTTTATCTTGAGGAGCGGGACATCTGGGGCCTGAAGCGCAGTTTCTGGGAACCGAATGTCGCCGACGACGCCGCCCTGATCCGATCCGAGACGATGTTCCTGGGGATAATCATTGGTCTCAAGCTTGCCGATGCTATCCCTCGCCCCCCCCAGATCATCCAAGAGACGGTGCGCGCCGGCGCGGTTGGGCCGTGTCCAAGCCTCTGACCGCGGGTGGCCATGGGTCGCCGCTAGCCCTCGGGCACTCGTTGAAAATATTGCCACGTGACGCGCCTCTGTTTGCAAAAACCGGACTACGCGCGCTATCCTCTCCTCATTATGTCCCGCGGGTCCGAGAGGTATGTAGCTGCCCGCCATGGAATCAATGCAACTCGGAAGCGTGAGATTCGCATCGCGACCGACTACCCAACGTCGAACTTTAGGACACTCTCGTTCCCACTTCCAGCCAGTGCAATCCGCCGTAGACGTGGCGTTCCCCCGCGTCTCCTTCGAGTCCATGTCGAAGACAGGTAGCCTGTGCCCTGATATAGCTCCGACTTGTCCCACTTGCGCCATGTGCCAATAAGGTTTTCACCTACCGAGACTCAGATCCTGCCGCTGCATAAAAATGCCGATGCCGCAATCGTGGTCTACTAATGAACAGAGGTAATGTCAATTGGCGCTGTCAACTGGAGAAAAGAGACGAGCTGTCGCCGCAGACTGGACATTACTTTGGCAGAATGCTTGAAGGCCTGCTTGCGCATGTTGCGCAAACTCACCACAACTGCGCTCGCTTGGCGATGTCGCGAATTACAATGCCCCCGAGGCGCCCTTACTTTCTCGCCCAATTCCAGCTCTGCAGTTGTGACGTTGAGCAACTTGACCTTGTCCTCCACCCCAATGCCCTGGCCCTTCATGTCGACGCCGCCAATGAGCTCCGACGCGTCGCCGATCGAGGCCATGGCGCTGAGAGCCAGCCCCCGATCTTCCTCGGTCTTCCATTTCCGGTCCGAAGCGTCCTCGCGCGCCGCGTCGTGCGGGCCCCCGAAAGCCCAGCAATGTTGAGGTCGCGCTGGATCCAGCTCTGATCTGATATTCGGGAAGATGCCTCCATTCATGATGTTCTGGTCGATCGTGATGTCCGTCGCGCGCCCTCGCGCGTCCGCATGGAAAAACAAACCGATTGCTGAGACTGGTGCAGATTATCTGTGGACTTCGCCTGCGCTTCGCCGCTGTGGGTCTTCATCTCTACGTTCTAGCGGTCCTTGATCTGGGATGGCCGCTGTCGCGCAGATTAGAGGTCGCGCCCCTTGGTGGATCTCCCCGCAAACTCGAAGGTTTTCGCGTCTAAGTGACTCGCAACCCAGTTCACTCCGCTCGACTGCCAGGGGGGCTCCGACGATGGCGCGCTTCTGGTACCTTTGTTTTTCCAGGGAACCGACTCTCGTGGCGAGCGCCCTCGTCACCTCCTCCATGTTTCTCGATCCTCGGACTGTGATCCTGGCGAATGTCCTGCAGCAAGCCCAGCATCTGACGAGCAGAACGCGCCGTGGAGATCTCCAGAGCGACGCTCAACTCCGGAGGGAGCGAGGCGAGCAACTTCTGCTCCATCTTCTCAGGTTCCGCGGTCTCTTGCCTCTTGGCAGCCACTGCATCCGCGTCGGCCACCATCAGTGCATGTTGCCCACGAATCTGGCGTGGAACATGGAGGCGAACACAAAACTCACTGCAAACGAATTCAAGCTGGCTTGAGCCAGAATGGAACAGAACGCTCGCGTTGACGATCGCCCAGAGCCCTCTCAAGCGGAGCGGGCAATGCCGTGGCCTTTCAAGGCAGCAGGTGGGGTGCGAGCTCACTCAGAAAGCTGGCGTCGGACAGGCACTGGGATTGGCAACGTAATTTGCTTCTGGTGTCTTCCAAATTACATCATTGGTAGCAGATATAAACCAATCGGTGTTGGCCGCCTCGTAACTAATGCGGGCAAGTCGCTCATGTAAACCATTTGAAATAGCATTGCCAAAAAGGTCGTCGTCTCATCGCTTCTGCTGCCCTTCCGAAGTCCAGCGCCCCGTCTCAAAAACATGGGAGCTGAGATGAGACTGGATGACGCATTGCGGCCGTCTTTGGAGTGGCTGCTTCGTGACCCTTGCGGCGGCTGTCAATCTAGTTTTCGGCGTTTGTGCATGCAACTCATCGCTTGTCCCGTCGTGCTGTTAATGTAGCGGGCCGACGATTCCAATGCAATGTTTCCCCTTGCGTTTTTGTTATACTTGTCGGCTGTGTTGTTTGTTTCGTCGCTGGTATCTGCGCGATTGTATTTGGCTTCTCCGTGTGAAATGTCTTCGTGGAGTGTGGATTGGTTGTTCGCAGCGTCGTCTTGTCGAAACTACGATCATTCGTAACTTGCGTCGTTGGGTGCAACGTACTTGTCGCAAGGGCTCAAATCATAATCCAACGTGCCGCCGTATATTATACCGTCGGTATGACAGTGCGACCGAAAAGGCCCGAATCGGCGCTTCAATTGAAGGTGGAGTGCTTCTGTGATTTCTTGTCTGCGGGCGGTGGAAGCGGCCCAGCCTGCCGTGAGCCACTGTTGCATCTCGATGTGCATGGTGTCGTGGAAGCTGGCTGGGTGTCCCAAGTGCTGACCCTCTTTTAGATGATAAAGTACTAAAGATGTCCATGCCGCTTGTGTTTACCACGTGCTGCAGTGCTCTCCCAACGGTTTCCGTTGTGTTCGGCAGGATGTTCGTTTAGGCGGGGTGAATGTCGAGACCATGCTGCTGCAATTTTCCCAATACTTGTCGTCAAACGCGGCAAACTAAGGCTCATCAGGACGTCGTGGGTAAAGCGAATGTTGGTGAGGCTACGATCTTTTGTGACACCGGGTTGGACGCTGTGGTTGTGTTGCTGCCATGTGGTGACAAGCGGACGCATGACGCATGTGAAGCTCGGGTCGCCCTGCTTCGTGCCCCTCAGAAATTTGAACAGGCGGCTCGTCGTTTCTGTCCGCATCGCTGCTTGTTGTTAAACCAATAATTCTGGAGTCAGTGTACATGGCCTGGTGCAGTACCTTGGCTCTTGAAAACCATCAAGGCTTTCGTGCTGGACGATGTCACGTTGGCGAGCTCCAGCTGGGTCCAGGGTCTGTTGTTTGTCCAGGCGCGGCGCTAGTCTATTGTGCAAAGTTCCGCAGAATAATTTATAGAGCACGGGGTACCGCATATTGGACTGCAGTTCTGAGGTTGTGTGAGGTCGCCTACATCTCGGCCTCAAACTGCCTTGGGGAGACCTCGGAATCCTAGGGCGTCCCCAGGGGATCCCAAGAACCCCCCGAGAGCCCCAGCTGGCTCTAGGAGAAACCGAAGGCGGCCAAGGAACCTCGCAAACGGCTCAATACGGCCCTGTGGGAGCTCCACGAAGGCATCAAGATCCGACCAGACGGCCCTGTGATGGTTCCGCGGAGCCTTTTCGGAAGAGCTCGGAGAAATCATCGCCACGCAGACAGGTCCCCCAGACGGCCCCAGGAGGGCTCCCAAGAAACCCCAAACAGTCTGTCCCAAAAGGTACCTCAACTTTTCGGCCACGCTACGCGACGTAACCGCGTCGCTGCCCCCCATCTGACCACAGTTTGTTTCTGCCGAGCCTCTTCGGGAGAGCTCGGTAGAACCATCCTGTATGCATATCGATGCTGCGCTGGCACGGTTGCGGGGTCTGCCACAAGCGCCTGGAAATCCTCCCCGCCGCGTCTCGGGAGAAATAGGTGTTGTCCTCCCCGGTGGCTGCCCGATCTTGCTCGTACAGCCTTGCGTACGATGGATTGATGTCGGCGCTGGTGCCCGAGCAGGACAGGTAGAGCGTGCCCCCTGGCCGCAGCAGCCGAAGAGCGTTGCGGAGAACCATGCTGCGCTCTCGAACGCCGCCCACGATGGACAGCAGCAGCTGGAGAATAGCGAAATCGAAGAAACCCTCGGGCTCCTCTTGGGATTCCCCAGTCCGTGTGACGAGAGAGGGCCGCAATGATGTGCGAGACTGAATGGCCCCTGGAGACACCCGAACAAAAACCACACAAGCCCTCTAAGCGTCCACTGCGCTGGTGTGGCCTGCCCAAACTCCTCCCCACATTACCTCCGATCTCCGAACTTTCCCGTTCCCTGTGGAGGCGTTATCAGTGCCGGTTGTGAATCATATCAGCCAACGTTGACTCCAAATTGATTAGACGACCCAAATCAAGGAATCATAATAATCGAGCATGCTTGGAACCCGCCACTCAGCAGGCAAGCAAGCGTGCAAGCAAGCGCGCACGCGCGAAAGCAAGCGTGCAAGCGCACAAGCAAGCAAACAAGCCGGCATAGGCATAGGCGTAGGCATAGGAGTTAGGGGGGAGGCGTAGGCATAGGTATAGCCATAAGAATCGAGGGGGGGGCTCGGGATTTTTTGGGGGGAACGGACCAATTAGCAGGGCTTGAGCTAGGACTCTTATAGGGCAAGCCTATTTGGAGAAATTCTTTTGGGTCGGCAACCGCGGGAGCAATCGCGCGGCGGTCGGGCGCCAACTGAGACACGGAGGCGAACGCAAATTAAGCACAGGGGGCGAAGCGGGGAAGAAGGCAGGGGAGGGCGGCTGCGCCTTGTAAATAAACACGCCCTCCCCCACTCGAAGGTTCGCCGACCAGAGCCAATGACGCCCCCCGCCAATCCCCACACCGTCTCTGTCAGAAGTCATCGCGAAACGCACAGTTTCTGTGAAGGACGGCTGAAGTGAGGACGTAATCTCCGTTGGGCGCTGGCCCATCATCCCATCAATAACCAATGTAAGCCGGTTGCGGGTTAACATGCCATGCGATTGGGATCATCCGCCGTCCCTTCGCTCTGTTTGTTGACAAGGGTGGTGGGAGTGTCAGCATATCGCCCGATGCGTGTTCCCACGTGCGCTGGCGCAGCTGGCGCGCCTGAAACAAGCACGCCACCTCCAGCGCCAGGCTAACCAAGGTTCGCGTGGAGCAGACGGCGCCTAAATGGGCCCACAACAGCTGTCTATCGAATTGCCGCCACCGCCTATATGGAGTTTCGGGTGCTGCTTACGTGATACGAGGCCGAGCGACAATTCGCCAGACCAACGGGCCAAAGGTGTGCTAAAAACTTCAGCAACTGGTTAAAACAATTCTAGTTCGCCCGCGTGGGGCGGCCCCGGGGGGGCCCTCGAACGAAAAGTACCCGGACAGGTCCCGGCAAGGTGGGGCCCAGAGATGGTTTTCCTCCTCGACGCCGCCTTCCAGGCTTCCCCGAGCGCCCCAGGAACGCTCCACGAGAGCCCCGTGACGTGCTCCAGACGGCCCGAGGGGCCCTCGGTCGCCGCCAGACGGCCGAAGACGCCGCCAAGAAGCCCCAAGAGAGCCTCAAGAGGCTCTCCTACAGAGCCTCAAAAAGCAAAAAATATCCCGTTCCTTTCAGAAAACTTGCGTTATGCGCCTATACGACGTTTCGACGTCCAGCGCGTCCAACACTGCCCAAGAGACCTTCAAGATCGCCCCAAGACGGCCCAACAGACTCCCGACATGGGCCCAACACGGCCCAAGAGGGCCCCAAAACGGCACACGAGGCCCCCTGGACAGCCCTAGGCAGCCCTAAGAGGTGCCCCATCGGGGGAGCTCGAATTGAACTTTCCAGCTTGCCGACCCGCACGATCGTCCCAAAACGCCCAAGATGGCCTCCTGACGGCCCATGACGCCGCCAAGAAACCCCACAAGAGCCTCGAAAGGCTCTCCTAGAGAGCCCCAACAAGCCAAACATGTAAAGGAAACGTGCATTTTGCCCATCTACGACGTTTCGAGGTCCAGCGCGTCCAACACTGCCCACGAGACCTTCAAGATCGCCCCCAAACCGCCCAACAGACTCCCAACATGGGCCCAACACGGCCCAAGAGGGCCCCAAAACGGCACACGAGGCCCCCTGGACAGCCCAAGACAGCCCTAAGAGGAGCCCCATCGGAGGAACACGAATCCCACCAGCCCTTTCGGGCGTAGGCGGTTTAGGGTGTTTCCTCTTCCACCCCCTTCTTCCCCTTCGGGGAGGGGTTTGCCCCTCCCCCTACCCCCTCCCCTGGACCTGGAAGGGGCGTTTCGCGGATCGTCGGAGCGTCCAAAACGGCCTCGGCGAGGAAGTCGCAATCATTGGTTGTACTAGGGTTTTGGCCCCATTTTGGCCTCTTTGGGGGGGCAGCGCTAATTGAGGGACCCCCTTCTTTGATCGACCTCCTCCGAGATGGCCCTAAGAGCGCTCCCAAGGCTCCCAAGAGTGCCCCAAGAGGCCCCTCAGAGGCACCCAAAACGCTCCAAGAGGCCTCGGCGAGACTGCCCAAATCATTGATTTTATTAAGATTTTGGCAACATTTTGGCCTCCGGGGGGGGGGGGGGGGGGCACTGCTTAAGATGACGCCGAGAGCGCCTGGGAGAGCCCAAGATGACCTCCAAGATGGCTCAAGATACCCCAAGATGGCTCCCACGATGCTCCAAGAGGCCCCAAGACCGCTCCAAGACGGCTCCAAGTGGCCAAAGAGCTCCCCCAGGAGGCCCCGAGGAGGCCAACATCCTTCCAAAACCTTGGGACAATCAATGTTTGTGGCTTTCTCGCCTTTGCGCTTCTGATGGCTATCCGAAGCTTCAATATAGCCCAAGAGGGCTCCCAGAGCGCCCAAGGCTCCCGAGAGCGCTTCAAGAGGACCCCAAGAGGCGCCCAGGAGGCCCCAACAGACGCCCAAGAGGGCTCCAAGAGGCTCCCAAGAGACCCCCAAGAGGCCCAAGAAGCTCTTTGCGGCACCCAAAACGCTCTAAGAGGCGCCTGGGATCGGCAAGAGGCCCACAAAACGCTCCAAGAGGCCTCCACTGGGGGACCCTTCCTCTGCGTGCTGCCCACTTCCCTGATCGAGGGGTTACGCGAAGCGTCTAGAATTGAACTTTTTTAGCTCGCCGACCCGCAAGATCGTCCCAAGACGCCCAAGATGGCATGCAGACGGCCCCAGACGCCACCAAGACGCCCCAAGAGAGCCTCGAAAGGCTCTCCGAGAGCCTCGACAAGCAAAACATGCCCCATTCCTTGCAGAAAACGTACATGTTGCCCATCTGCGACGTTTCGAGGTCCAACGCGTCCAACACTGCCCAAGAGACCTTCAAGATCGCCCCAGGACGGCCCAACAGACTCCTGACATGGGCCCAACACGGCCCAAGAGGGCCCCAAGATGGCCCACGAGGCCCCCTGGACAGCCCTAGACAACCCTAAGAGGTGCCCCATCGGAGGAACTCGAATTGAACTTCCTGGCTTGCCGACCCGCAAGATCGTCCCAAAACGCCCAAGATGGCCCCCAGACGGCCCATGACGCCGCCAAGAAGCCCCAAGAGAGCCTCGAAATGCCCTCCTAGAGAGCCCCGACAAGCCAAACATGTCCCATTCCTTTCAGAAAACGTGCACTTTGCCCATCTACGACGTTTCGGGGTCCAGCGCGTCCAACGCTGCCCAAGAGACCTTCAGATCGCCCAAGGACTGCCCAACAGACTCCCGACATGGGCCCAACACGGCCCAAGGGGGCCCCAAGACGGCCCACGAGGCCCCCTGGACAGCCCAAGGCAGCCCTAAGAGGGCCCCATCGGGGGAACTCGAATTGAGCTTCCTAGCTTGCCGACCCGCAAGATCGCCCCAAAACGCCCAAGATGGCCCCTAGACGGCCCATGACGCCGCCAAGAAGCCCCACGAGAGCCTCAAACGGCCCTCCTGGAAAGCCTCGAACATCTAGAACCTCGAATCGGATCGAAATGGACCCTGCCACGCGCCCCTCTCCCTCTCTTCCTCTTCCTGCGGTCGCATTCACAAGCTGCCACCCTCCAAGACGGCAAGGCTCAAACTTTTGACGAATTCCTTCGATCTGCGACATGGCCCCACAGCGACCATCCAGAATCATCCCCCCCCACCGACACAAGCAAATAGATCACCGACCAGACCCGTGATCACCCACGATTGCCCCAGGACAACCCCGCCAGAATCTGCGACGAACCCCCGAAACCAAATCCACAGTCACTGTGACCCCCTCAGGAATACACCCCCAAATCGACAGAGGTGCGACAATAAGTGCTGGCGGAATGAGCGAAGCGGTTAAATATGCGAAACACCTTTTCCCGTTGGGAGCTTGACCTCGCCCGCTACCCCTTCACTTGGATCCCAACTTCTGGGCGCGGTGCTAAGCCGAGTAAGGGCCTGTCTTCTCGTTCCTAATGCCGAAAGGTTAATGATAAACTAACTATGCTGACGAACCTGAACGTTGACAGCCGTAAACTTTAAAGTGCTCTGTCATCTTCTGTGGAAGCACACTGTGAAATTGAAACTTATTCATGGGTCTATGTATGCGATCCTGGGCTACAGCCTCCCCTCCTTCAATCAGATCCTCTTAGATGTTAAACGGAGAAACAGATACACACTATATAACATAACGAGCGCTCCGTTGAGGAACCGTCGGGTGCGACCATCTTCCACTGTTGGAAAGCCCCTTAGGACCGCAGGGGGAAATTTGGAAGGGTGCTCCCCTGTTGGGCCCAACAAGGGGGCGGGGAGGTTTGGACCCCCGCTTCCTCCTCGTCCCCGGTCTGCCGTCCCGGACACCCCCCCTTCCACCCCTTGTCCAAAGTGGGGGGGAGAGGAAGTCTGCACCGCCCCCCCTTCCCCCCCCTTGTGGAGCGACAATGAACCCACCACCTCCACTCCTTTGGGGAGTCCCCCTCGTCTTCCCTCGAGCACCCTGAACCAGAAACGCTAATCCTTGACACCCTAATCCGTAACACTTTAACGCCCTGGCCCTAACAACACCCTGACGGCAGCACGTTCGCCCAGAAAGCCCTGACGCCCTAACCCCCCAACGCCCCAACCCCAGCACCCTAACCATGAGCATAAGCATCACTAGCCCAAACACCCTATTACTCTTAGCGAAGCCCCCTAAGCCTAACCCGCTAACCCTAACATTAACACCCCAACCATAAGCGTCCATAAGCTGAACACCCTCGCCTTACCACTATCGACCTAACTCCGTAACCCGAACGGTAATCACTCGAGCCCGAAAACCCATCATTCACATCCTAATCTTAAGGACCTAGCCACAACCCTAACACCCTACAGTTCACACCCTAATCCCATCTCTGTAAATTCCAGAGCCCTAACCCGAACTCCCTCAATAGGCTGCGCCGCCTCCTTGCGCACTGGCTGGATGGGGTTTCCCCCTTTCCGCGGTCGTTCTCAATGGAAATCGGCTCTCATCCACAAAGCTGGGTGCATTTGGCGGTGACGTGGCCTGTCCTTGTTCGATGGCGACTGTGGTGTCAAACCTCTGGCAAAGAAAAGCAGCGTGTGTGATGGGGGTGGGGCGAGCATACACGATTTTAGTTGTAGCGGCCCGATTAGACACGAATCGAAGGATACATTGCGTGCGAGTATACATGTATATATATATACACACATGTACATGTACTTGTCCACAAATAGTACTATATCTAGAGATATGTGTATATATGTAATGTGTGAGGGAGGCAGACAACGAACCTGCCCTTCGCTTCCGCCTCCATCACCTCCTCAAGCCTGGGCCACCGCTCCTCGTCCCTTTGTTGTTGTCCAGTGAATCGTGCCACGTGGGCGCATCCCATGTGGCTTGCACAACATATAACGGCGCCTGCACTGTCACTGTCCTGGAAAATCTGGGCCGACTCCTTTGTCACTTGATGCAAATGGGTTAGGTACGTCACAGGGTACTCTTACTTTGCAGGGTGCATATGTGGATATATATATATATATATATATATATATATATCTAAATATATACAGATGCGTATCTGACCGGATGTGCATATCGATTTCGTTCATCGGGCCATGTGCTCACCTCATCGGTTTGGGACTGCCACTCCTCGCCCTCCCCCAGCGCCGCCCCCACGGCGCCGAGGAGACCGTGGCAAACCACGTCTGTGGCGAGGAAGGACGCGCCCGGGCACCGCTCGGACGCCGCCGCCACTGCCCCCGCGTTGACGTCCACGCCGACGACGCGGTGCCCCCGCCCGTGCAGCATCGCGGCCAGCTCCCCAACGCCGCAGCCCAGCTCCAGCGTCCTCACGCCCTCGGGCGCCCTCTGCCTGCTCTCGCCCTCCACTCGCTCGAGCGCCGCGCTGAAGGGCGCGGGGAGCTTCGCCTGGCGCAGCCGCAGTCGGGGACCCCCTCCCCTCGTCACTCCTGGCGCCTACTGGCCGGTTCAGATCGCCAGCGCCAGAACTTCTGGGCCAGGCGCCGGTCTGGCAAATCCTCCCCAGGAAGTCCCTTGCTTCGGGGAGGGGTGCTCGATTTTACCGGTCGTCGCCCCCTTGGTGGGGATCTCCTCGGGCGTGAAGGCTGCCCAATCCTCTGCCGCGTTGCGCGCTTGCCCTAGCAAGTCGCGAGCAAGCTCCGGCATTGCTCAGAGCCCGTGCGGTCCGCAGCGCGGGAGCCCTGCTGCAGCGAGGCCTGAGCGAAGCTGGCCTCCCAAACAAGGATGGCGACTGCCGCGAAACAGGGCGGTGTGGCTGTGGCTGCGATGACGGCCAAAACGGTGGTTACGGTGACTGGCCATTCTTGCCACTCTCACCTGCATCACCCTCGTCGTTACTGATCCCATCTGGGGAAACATATCAACCACCATCGTCATGACAACAGTCTCTTGGTCACCTCTCGGGCAACACGGGCACCATTACATGTGTACATGTACATGGGACGATGTGGTGAGGTGCACCTGCTGAAGACATAGTCAGCCCGTATATTCTGATATTATGAATCACACCCGCACACCTCGCAGATGTAATCGTATTTCTAGCCGCAAGTGTTTCCTTTCACGACCAGTAGCAACCCTGCGACGAAATGTCTGGACTGCGACAGCCGACAACAAACGCCATATCCTGTGGAATGAATCGCCTGGCAGAAGACTCAACCCTATTGATGGGACAACGGACGAGGTGTATTCTCCCTCTCCTACGCTGGGAGGAGAAATAATGAAGATGGGGGGAGGGGACTGGGAACGGAGAAAGGAGAATATGACCAAAGGCTCAGAAACGAGGCTAAGGTTTGGAGGATACCCGCATGCGGGGTCGAACTGCGTGGAAAGCGTAGAGACTGCAAGACGCCATGGCGTTGCGAATGAAACCCTCTATGGCAATAACCTGTGCCCTGCCTGCAATGGTATAGTGGAGCAAGGTCGGTCACGGTAAGGTCATACAGCCGCGCGCCGAATCGACCTCGGTTGAAGATGTAAACCAAGCAAATACCGAGACGGTTCTGAAAATCACGTCCTCCGTGGCATCGGCCAAGCCCCTATGACGTGCTTCAGGAGAGTGGCAACATGGACGGGAGGGCTCATGTGTTGTTAATGGGGCTCGCAATGCTTCGACGATGGCCTCCGAGACCGCCAGCAGGCCCCCAAGACGCCTTGACCCGAGAGGCCCCAAAACGTATCCAAGAGGCGACCCCCAGGAGGCATCAAGAGGTCCCCAAGAGGCCTCCAATAAACTTCTCGTCTACGACCCAGTCACGATGGCAGGACGCGCCAGAAGCCACTGGATATCTATAAAATCACCCTTTCTGGTGGATGCAATTTTCGTTTTGCGGTGTTCTCGACTCGGACTGGCAAGTCTTGCTCTCTCTCTCTCTCTCTCTTTCTGTATTTCTCTCTTTCTTTTCAAGCTGCCGTTTTATGCTGTTTTGTCAATTACTCTTTTTCCCAACCATCCTGTGGTGTTGGGTCCTCGTTTTGAAGAGACGGTCCCCGCGTTCCTTCCTTCCTTCCTTCATTCCTTCCTTTCTTCCTTCCTTCCTTCCTCCTCCTCCTCCTCATTTCGTGGCCCCACAAGGAGCTCCACCGAAGGCCCCAGTGGGATCGCCCACATGCGTCATCCACCACCCAACACAACATTTCGTGGCCCCATAGAAGGCTCCACCGAAGGCTCCACTGGGACCGCCCGCGTGCGTCATCCACCACACAGCACAGCGTTTCGTGACCCCATAAGGAACCCCACCGAAGGCCCCAGCGGGACCGCCCGCATGCGTCATCCACCATCCAGCACAGCATTTCGTGGCTCCATAGGGAACTCCACCGAAGGCTCCAGTGGGACCGCCCGCGTGCGCCATCCACCACCTGATGCAGCGTTTCGTCATAGGGGTCTCCACCGAAGGCCCCAATAGGACCGCCCGCATGCGTCATCCACCACCCGGTACAGCTTTTCGTGACCCCATAAAGAGCCCCACCGAAGGCCGCAGTGGGACCGCCCGCATGCGTCATCCACCACCCAGTACAGCTTTTCGTGACCCCATAAGGAGCTCCACCGAAAGCCCCAGTGGGACCGCCCGTATGCGACATCCACCACCCAGTACAGCGTTTCGTGGCCCCATAGGGAGCTCCACCGAAGGCCCCAGTGGGACCGCCCACATGCGTCATCCATCACACAGTGCAGCAATTCGTGGCCCCACAGGGAGCTCCACCGAAGGCTCCACTGGGACCGCCCGCATGCGTCACCCACCACCCCGTGCAGCGTTTCGTGGCCCCATAGAGGGCTCTCCCGAAAGCCCCAGTGGGACCGCCCGCATGCGTCATCCACCACCCAGCACAGCATTTCGTGGCCCCATAGAGAGCTCCACCGTAAGCCCCAGTGGGGCACCCGCATGCGTCATCCACCACCCAGTACAATGCTTCGTGTCCCCAAAGGGAGCTCCACCTAAGGTCTCCGTGGCGGAACTCGTATGGCGGCCCAGTGGCGGAGTTCTCATGGCGGCGACTTTCGACATGTGGAGGTTTTTGGCTGTATTCGACGTATTGAGGCCGCTTTTGGGCCGCGCATCTCGGGCGGGAGCCAGCCTGCTCGCTCTCTCTGCTCCACGCAGCGGGCGACCCGCGCGCGTCGCCGGGACCCCTTCGGGGCGACCAGCGCGCGTCGCGGGGACTCCGTGCGTCGCCGCGCCCGCAGTCTTGGACGTGGGCGTGCACGGGCAAAAAGGGAAAAGAAAAACGGGAAGGAAGCGGGCGCGATCCTCAAGATAGGCGCGCCGACATGGGCGTCGACATTTCTGCAAATAGACTCACGCGCGCGCGGACTGACCCACAATCAGACTCACTCGGTCTTAGTCTCTCGCACGCAGACCTATCGCCTTCGCTCGCTTTGTGTGCCCCGCCACGCATGTCGGCACGCCCCTTTCACGGTTCGTGGCCCCATAAGGAGCGCGGGCGAAGATTATATTAATAATTGCGGTATTCACAGCTGCATATGGTTGGGTCCCTCGCCAGGCCAATTTTCCTCTCTCTCTCTCTCTCTTCTGTTTCTTCCCTCTCTCTGGGGATCCATGGGCGCCGGGACATCTAGGCCTCCTGGAAGTCCCTGCCTGGCCTAGCCAACTGCCCAAAGCGGTCGGGGGGATGGCCAAACGGTGCCGCGAGAGCCCCAATCGGCCCCAGACGCCTACCAAACACCCGAAGACGGCCAACAAAACACGACCAAAAGGCAATCGAAATGCAAACAACATATATTGGCAAATGTTGTCGTCTGATTTTGAATAATCGGCTCTCTGGTCTCCTGGTCGTCCGAGACCGCCTAAGAAGCTTCGAGTATCGTCCTTGGACGACCCAAACAGGGCCTCCAAGCAATCCAAGAGAGATCCAAGACGGCACAACAGGGCCCAGGTACGGCCCGGTGATGAAGTCGTTGAGGAAGGCTATGCTTCGCAGCAAGGTGGCGCGAGAAACACCCCGAAGGCCCCCCGAAGGCGGCCAGAAGGCTTCCAGAGGCCCCCCAAGATCCCAGGCAAAACTTTCGTGAGGTCCCCGAGATTATCCCCCCAGGGGGACGGGGAAGGGTTCGCAGAGTTGGGCAAGAACGAAGAGGAGGACACATAGTGTATACAAACAGTATAGCAAAGACGACAAGGGCAACGAAAAAGTCTCGCTATGCTTACTGATTGACCCATCTGTCTCTTTCCGCCTGTACGTCAAGCTCCAAGGACCAGTGTGCATGGCGCGAAGAGCTGGTGTAGTTTTGTGTGACCATAAACGGATATATATATATATATATATATATGTGCACTTATAGTTACAAATTTGCAAGAACATACACATACACATACATACATATATCTGTATATCTATATACATGTATGTGTATGTACATTGGAATGACTATGCGTATGAGGATTGACGTATGTGTATGTGTGTTCATCCAGCGCGCCTGCTGTAGCTTCCTGCGATCGCCCAACAACATGAAGACGTCTGCTCTGAACAAGCGCCTTGACCACCTGAAGACATGGAGACGAGCTGAAGATCCGAAGGTCGGGAAGCACCCGCTGGCGTCAACCGACGGGATGGCGTGGTCGTTGCCGCCGCCGCCGCAGCCGTCGCCGCCAGCTCTGGTAAGGGGGACTTTGTTAGAAAAGGCTCGGGGAGGAGCAAAGACCAGACCATATCCTCCGCAATTATCCTGGCGAAGGGCCCAACCATATGCAGCTGTGAGTATCGCCGTTGTGGGTATCGCCTTCGGTGGATCTTTTAATGGGGTCACGAAGCGCATAAAAGGGTGTGCCACAATGGGGCGGGGACGCATGCGGGCGCAGCCATTTGGGCCTTTGGTGGCGCTCCATATGAGGCCACGAAGCGAATGAGAGGTGTTCCGAAATTGAACGGAGCAGCCATGCGAACGTCGCCACTGGGGTATTCGGTGGAGCTCGCTATGGGGCCACGACGCGCTGCACTGGGTGGGGGGAAACGCATGCGAATTGCGCCACTGGGACCTTCGGTGGAGCTCCCTCTTGGACCACGAAACAGTATACTGGGTGGGGGAGGCAAATACGAACTGCGCCATTGGGACCTTCGGTGGAGCTTCTCCGGGGCCGCGATCCGCTGTACTGGGCAGGGGAGACGCATGCGAACTGCGCCACTGGGACCGTCGGTGGAGCTCCCGCTGGGGCCACGAAGCGCTGTACTGGGTGGGGGAGACGCATGTGAACTGCGCCACTGGGACCGTCGGTGGAGCTCCCTCTGGGGCCCCGACACGCTGTACTGGGTGTGGGGGACGCATGCGAACTGCGCCACTGGGACCTTGGTGGAGCTCCCTATGGGGCCACGAAGCGCTGTACTGGGTGGGAGAGACGCATTCGAACTGCGCTCTGGGACCTTCGGTGGAGCTCCCTCCGGGGCCGCAATCCGCTGAACTGGGCGGGGGAGACGAATGCGAACTGCGCCACTGGGACACCTTCAGTGGATCTCTCTATGGGGCCACGAAGCGCTGTACTGGGTGGGGGGGACGCATGAGAACTGCGCCACTGGAGCTCTCGGTGGAGCTCCCTTACGGCGTCACGAAGTGCTGTACTGGGCGGGGGAGACGCATGCGAACTGCGCCACTGGAACCTCAGGTGGAACTCCCGATGGGGCCACGATGCGCTGAC